TATATATATATATATATATATATATAGAGAGAGAGAGAGAGAGAGACCACAAATCCTAAAAGAACTCTAAAAGAAATAAATAGTCATAATGACAACTAAACCCCTGAAAAGTATAATGACAAATAACTCATAATCTTTACGTCTACGCCTACTATAACGAAATATAATCCGATTCCTATCAATATGCTTTGGGAATATTCTCTGAGTGGAATATGCTTTGACAGAGTGGAATATTTCGTCGTCTTCAACCTTGTTCTGGTCACCAGTTCGGCGAACTTCCGGCAGCAACTTCAGAAATCTCCCGTGAGCTCCGACAGTAACTCCGACTGCCGGTGAATTTTCTGACGAACTTCCGGCGAGGACCGTGAGAGCCCGTATGATGTCGGATTGATGCAAGGCCAATGGGGTCTGACTCATTTCGACGAGAGGAATCCAATGGTGCGCTCAGAATTTGATTTCAAATTCATTTAGAACCCGTACGAACCAAAAACAATGAGTTTGAAAATTTTTGGCGACCCAATCGAAGCTCTAATACCACTTGTTGGTTACGCGGGGCCAGAAAAATACCACAAACAAGATATAAACAAAGAGGATATCTCTATTTCACTCTAAAAATAAAATACAAAAATTCTCATTGAGATCTCTCTCGAATCTCGCTCTCTTTGTTTCTTCCTCACTGATCTAAAAATCATACTTTTGGCCTTCACTAAGCTTCCTATTTATAGGGAGTTTTCTGGCCAAATAAGTCAAGAAGGGAGGGAACACATTTAAAGCTTTGGTAAGCTTTGTCAAAGTTCAGACGTCTGCAGTCCACCAACAAGTCGTCCATAGGGTGGCTACTGGCATGGGCTACTGGGTAGTAGAGTCAGCTATTGGATAACCTTCTGATGGAGCTGGATGAGCTGGAACCTTCATTTTCTTGGACTAAAAATTCATCATCAGTGTTTTCACAAAGAACAATTTTCCCCTTGCCTTTGTTTTTATCCAATGAGCCTGAATTGCAATTTTTGAACAACTCACAGTGCCTTAGTTACAAGTCCATATTGTAAGGGAAAACACAAGAATTGTGGAATTGATGCTTATGTTTTTAAGATACCTTGCTTCGTCTTCTACAAAGTGTTTAGAACTCGTCTCTTGGCAGATTTGCCATATATTAATGGATATACATAAGACTTATTGATATCAGCAAAATTTATGCCTTCACCCTGACATCCAAGAGGAAAAGCATAAGAAAAAATTGAACCATTACTATGAGTACGATTGGTTGAACCTGTGTATGATGGAATGTTCACTAATTACCTTGATCACTTTATTTCCAACTAGCGCAACATCTGATTCAAAATCACGATCAATGGTGGTGGCAGCAACAGTCCGAATCCAAGGAGTAACATTCACAACAGAACAGGGATAAGGCCCATCATTCCCAGCAGAGCAGGCCACCATAATCCCCTTCTCAACCGTATGGAATGATCCAATGGCGATTGGATCAAATGAAAATTTGATCTACATCCCTGCTGAATCTCCAAGTGATCGTGAAAGCACATCAACACCGTCACCAATTGCATCATCAAAGGCTGCCAGAATAGCGGATCCTTGACATCCATTAAGGGCGCATACAGGGTAGACAACAGATAGTTGTTATGGTCCCTTACATCATAAGGAGATGAGGATGCAAAGAATAGAGGTACTGCCATGGTTCCTGGTAAGGGAGGAGTAGTCATTGAGGTGATGTGAGGAGAGAGAGACGATGGGTAGTAGGGAAGAAGGCGAAGAGTGAAAAGAGAACAAAGAAACAGAGAAGGGGAAGAGATCGAGACCATCGGGTTTTTTGGTCAGATCAATTGGGTTTTATTACCACCAATTTGGGAATGTGCAATACCATGCTTAATTTGGTAATCTGTAATCCTATACTTTGTGGTATTAGTTATTCCTAAAAAATGATTAGGAATGAAAGAATTTTCATTACCACAAACCAAACAATGAAATGGACATTCGTAAGTAATAATAATTTCATTCTTAAAGTCTAATCCTCTGTATCAAACGCAGCGTTACTCTATGAACATGTTTTTTTATTATTGATTATGGTAAGGTAGCAAGCATGTAGACATGCCATAGATATGCAGCTTGTATTATATGAGTGAAGTCAAGAGTAATGCGGGAGTTTATAGCAAATGTAGATGAATTAGAGACTACTGCGTACATTGGTTTTGGAAATGTATTTGACATATTAATTTGTAGATCTCATAAAGTTGAAATCCCAAAATTTTATTACTGGGAAAACACAATCTTGTGAAAAGTCGATGCTTTGGGAGGGGACTTCCCCTCCTAATTGGTGGGAATAATAGTAATAAAAAGGTATTGGAGAGGGGGGCAATGCAGAAAGTTGAAGATATGACTTCCCATTAATGAGAATTCAGGTGGCCTAGGAACCAATGAGAGAGTGTCAGCTCATCCTATCAGGCTGATGTAGACCAGTTTGTCTTTGATCACTCTTAACATTGGGAAGATTTCACCTCAACCTTGATAGCTTCTTTAAATGGGTAGTTTCCCTATAATTTCCTTGTACCATTCGCAATTTAAAATAGCCAATTGCATCAATAATGTAAGAAACACTGTCATTTTTTTTTTAGGTAACGTATATGCAATTGTGTAAAATGGGTGAAAATAAGAGGATGATCGAATTTATAGCAAATATAGATGAATGGGAGATTGAATACATTATCTTTGGATGTGTGATTGGTACATTTATAGATCTTTTAGAGATGGAATCCCTAAATTTATTCCTTGATAGGCACAATCTTCTTGGACAAGGTGACTTTTCATTGGTGAAGATGATGGGTAACCTCAGATCTGATTAGTCTCTTTCAATTGACAGTTTCCTTGTCATTACCTCGGATCAGCACAATCCATCATAGAAAATCTGGCTCATCTCCAGTACGGTAATAAGACAGAGTGCATTTTGAATTCATTTTTTCTTCAAAAATTATTCTACATTTAATTCATTTGAGAAAGCATAAGAATGACTTAAATTAATCCATATAAATTCAAAATTGATCCAACGTTCCACAAACACCCAACCCAATTCTTTCTCCTATCCATCACACCCTTTCTCAATAGTTGGACCACATCCACACGCGCTTGCAACCCGTAACCCATAACCCACACCCATGACTGATACACTATATATCTCCTTCAGAAATTCATATCTAAACCACAACCAACAATCATACACATGTTATTCTGAGTTGCTATAAATAGCAAGAAATCTGGTGGGAGCAGAAAATACCAATTAGAAAAGAAGAGAAGAAAAGAAATAGAGGGAAAGCCTATTAGATACAAACCCTAAGATTATGCTATGTTAGCATGTAAAGATTAGAGATTTAAGAGAGAATAATTATGAAGAAATTGTGAGAATTTAGGAGAGAAAATTTCAAACCTGCTTCTCACTTTCAACATATATTTACATCTGATAATACTCCTAAAAGACAAGTATACCCATACATGGGTACACTTATTACAACATAAGCAATAAGCATTAGGGGTGGCAATCGAGTCATGTTGTGTCGAGTTTGTGTCGTGTCGAACATTAATCAACTCATACTCAACCCATTTAACTTTTCGTGTCGTGTCGAGTTGACCTGTTTATTTTTGTGTCCTGTTCATGTTCATATTCGTGTTGACCTACATAAATTTTGAATAAAAAATTTAACGCTAAGATTTTATTTTTACTTAATTGAATCTCTCCTCGTACTTTTTCTACAAACTAAAAATTAACTTAATAATAATAATAACAACAATAATGAGTAATAGTAAATTTTTTATACAATAATTATGTCAGTGCTTGATAAACAGTTACTAATAATTAATATTTTATTTATATAATACTAATTAAATATGTTAATCGTACATCAAACAACGAAATTAAACATCAGAAGTAATAGAAAAAACAAGTCATCAAAACATGAAAACTCATGCATACAACGAAAAGGTCAGGTCAATCTCCTTCAAATTAAAAATTTTGTATTGACGGGTCAATTCGTGTTAAACGGGTTGAACCCGAACACATTAACACTTTGTGTTGGCGGGTCGTATCAAAAAATTAGTCAACTCAAACTCATTTATTCGTATCGTGTTTCGTATCTAGTTATCGTGTCGTATCAAAAATTGTCACCCCTAATAAGCCTCAACACTAATACTCTCAACAAGGTGCAAAGGAGGGTACTGAAATGAAAATTAATTGACTAAATGAGGGTATTTTAGTATATTTATAAATTCTATAACAAACATTGCACTCTCTTGCCAATTCTTTCTCTCCTTTCTTCTGTTTTTATTGTTTTTGCTTTCAGAAAAATTATAGCTTTTAAGCAAATACTTCATAAATTTGAAATCATAGAAAATTCACTATGATTTCCTCTGTTTCAAATGCATAATAACAAGACGAAATATGAAAAGATGGGGACTCAGATTCAGTGGTGCCTCTGGATATGCGGATTTCTGTTTCCCAGTGGATTTCTATGTTTTCTCGTAGGTTCCATGTCTTGCTAGTTTGCTCGCTTTCAGATCGGCGCAATTAGTACAAAATTATTCTTTGGTGGAGAGGCTATTCACTTTCAGATTCGGTGGTGCACATTGACGATTTATTTGCTTTAAGCACACTGATGATAGGCTGCTAGGTTTTGGTGGGTGAAACCCTCTGGGATTTCTAAGTTTTTAAGTAGTATTTTCTTCCTCACTTTGATAGTGCTTGATGACTCTCAAATGTATAATGTGTTCATGGATCTATCAGTCAAATGATATGAGTACCTCTCTTTTATGGTGAAGATGAAGGCTTTTTCAAGCACTCCAAAATGGGAGACTTTCTTACTTTGGTTGAAATCCCTGATGGTTTACCTCTCCCTCCAGATTTTTTCATCTGGAAAAACTCTCCTATTCCTATGTTTTTCCTCTAACTTTCAACCTTTATAGGTTGGCAGAATTTAGAAAAGAAAATTTGTGAAATAAGAGAGTCAGACTTCGTTCAAAGTCTGAAAAAATGGCTTCCCACAAGGTTGGCGGGTGAAAATGAGAAGAAAGGTTTTTGACGGGTTTGATTATTGGAGAAAATGATTCAGTGTGTTAATTGGGAGAAAATATTGGTTACAACGGTTATACATGTCACTTTGCTAATATTCTCATCATAAAATAAAATATATCACGTCAACAAAGAAATCAGTTGTACAATGCTTTGACCTTTCTGAATTTAATGTCGGAAGTTGCCCCTCAAACGTCTCCAAATTTTTTTTGAATTTAATCTCTCCGCCAAAATATTTTATGGATGTCCGCCAAATTTCTCCATTTTGCTTTTCAACTAAACTTCCAGGTTAAACTTCCAATCGGCAACTAAGCAGTTTTGTAGGACATCAAGAAACTCTGGACGAGAAAACCTATGCCCCCTATGCTGCTCCACAGCCACTGTCCCCGGCATTTGGTTTGGATATCTTCCCCTTTGCTTCTCTAGTTCCAGACATCCATCAGCTTTCTCAACCAACATTGATTCCAATTTTCTGATGGACTGCATTCACAGAAGATAAGGAGTCGCAGAGAACAACAAAACCAAGATTGTACTCGAGGGCGGAGGCAGGGTAGGGGCAGTGGGCAATTGCCCCCATTGAAATTCTGAAAATTTGTAGGGTTAATTTAAAATTATAGTAAAAATTAATTTTTTTTAATAACTTGCCCCCACTCATTTTTTTTTAATGCACTAAAAATTTAGACTCAAGGTTCGCTCATAGAAACTTAATCTCACCTTTTTTTTTTAATCTCTAATTATCTTTATTCCTTTTACAATGACTCACTTAAGTTACTGAATCAATTCTTCTACAAGTTCGATTACTAAGACATAGATACATATTTTTGACCAATTATCTAAGTTTAAATATACTACATCATTTTCTAAGATTTTAGATTTAGACGCATAAAAAAATTTAATCTAATTATGATTCAATTCAATTTGCTTCGATTCAATTTGATATGCATACACAAATATGTATATGTAAACATTTGATAAAACTAAACAATTAAATTGAATTAAAATTACAATGCAACACACACACACACACATATATATATATATAAGATTGGATTTTTCATAAAATTCATAATATTTAATAGCTTCGAATATGAATTAAAAAAACGAAATCAGTTGAATAATTAGATTAAATTCAAAATAGGGTTTTCAAGACAAATTGCCATTCAAATGAGTTAAAATCTTATCATTGACAAGCACACTCACGAAATGATATGTCAAAATAGCATTTTCTATGAAAACTGTCTTTTATTCTAATGCTTGAAAAAAAAATTATATTAGTTTTTCATAGTCGGCTATTATTTTTTCACATGTACTTATATTTAAAATCTTTGAAAGTAAAAAAAATAATATGAAGAATTATTTTAAAAAAAGTGTTAGATTAGGAATTTTTTTCTTATAGAGAACGAAATTTTGAGATAATAAATATTTTCACTAGATGCAACGAACTTTGATAATTGTTGAGTAATCATTTTCTTTAATTTGATGGTTGTATTTGGTTCTCTTTAACTTGATGGTTGTCCCCACTGAAAAAAATTCTAGCTCCGCCCCCTGATTGTACTACCTTCCTTGGCTTCTGGGTATCGTCGGATTGTCGTTTTTCTATTATGTTTGATTAAACAGTGAAATATTGCAAGTCAGCATGCTTAAATATTATAGCAAAAGGATAAAGTGTGAAATAGTTAAATAGGTTTGTTTATTTTTTGGTATAATATGATGGACCAACTCTGGTTTAGGGGATGAAAATTTTTATTTCAGTATGTTTCTTGAATGTGTATATTTTGAATATATGTGTGTTGCTTAATGATTATTAAGGCATTAATTTAAGTTATACTTTATTGGATTTTCAATATTAATAGGTTGCATCAAATTTGCAGAATCCACATCCAAATCCTGATATCAAAGAGGTCAGTGAAAAGATTAGTAAAGTTTTGGATGAAGAAATTAAGCAAGGAACTGTTGGTCAGGCTATCGTTTGGTAAATGGTTAATTCAGTTTGCAAGTTAAGAATTTTGGGGTCTGACATGTCACGGCAAGTGGCACAAGGAATTAAGTAGTTCATGGATATTGTCCCAACTATAGATTCAATTGATTTTTGAGGCATGTCATCTTTGTAGGTGGATTCCCAAAATTAATTAATAGATGTCTTCCGAGAGGTCAGTGATCTAAAATTGATAGCACAACGGGCAGTGAATTACTCCTACAAGTTCAGACCATCTAAACCAAGGGAAACGGATCCTCCTCCATGCCATCCAATAGTCTCATCATCGTCTCTAATTTTATGGCTCTGCATGGTGAAAGTTGACTCCTTTTTTATAAAAAATTTTTATTTTCCTTTTGTTTGATGCCTGAAACTATGGTTGCGCATTTGTATGGAGAAATTGTCACATGTAATGAAGGAATCATAAAGAATTTAACCACGAATTATAGTTTTATGGATTTATTAGGTGGTTTGAATTTTATTTTGCAGTATGGGCTTGTGGATTATCAGACTATAATTGAATCTGATTCACAAGTACTGGTGCAGATGGTGTTGGGTAAGGCAGAGGTACCATGTAGACTGAAGGCTATTATGGAAATTGGGCTTTTGTTTGGTACTTTGAATGTACAGATTAAGCATGTAATCAGGGAGGCTAATGGAATTGCTGATCTCTTGGCATCGTTTGCAGTGCAACTGGGATGGTCTGCTGATTTTTCAGTCAGTGGTGTGTTTCCGACTGTTGGAAGGATTCTGCTGCAATGGGATCAGAGCTTGCTGCCTTCTGCTAGAGTACAGAAAATAGTTAGTAGAGGTACACTGCCTCTATAATGATTTTTCTAGGAAGGGAGTCTAATTTCCTAGGGAGTACTCTTCATGCTGCTGGGTTGGAATGGTTGCTTCCATGGTTGGCATGTTGTTGTTTTCTGGCTTTTTTTGAAGGATTAAAGCCTTGGAATGTATTTTTGGTTGACTTGTTAAATTCTTGTAATTCTTTTATTCATTCAATAAAAATTTATTTTTCTTAAAAAAAAAAATAGTTTTCAACAGAACAACATTGTGTACTATAAAAACCAAACATGCTATTATAAGCTGAGTGCTATGCGGCATTGTTTATTCAATCTTCTAGTGCTGCAACCATGGGGTCAAGATCTATGTTGTGTTGTTGATTGTTTGTAACTTGTCATTGTAGATTTTAGACTAATAAGAATAAGTGGGTTTACTCAACTACTAGTTTTGTTGGTGCTACTTGGGGATTGACCGAGTCAAGTTTACTCCTTGGCTATTATCAAATACTGAACATCTGAAAATTTGACTTTCAGAGTACAATGCCATTTGGGCCACAGTCCCAAAGTTTTGGACAATAGTCTCTAAGTTCTTTTGTTCAATCTATTCCATTTTCTTTTTTTAGTGGTCATATCATTCCAATTGTAGAATCATTTAATTACTATATTTCTTACAATCCACTCCAATTGAAGAACCTATTTAGTTACTGTATTTCTTACAGCAAAACTGGTGCTTGAATATCTCCTTGTAGCAATCTGGTGCTTGGAACCTCGGTCATTTGATAATTCAGGAATTGTGGCCATTTCATAGCTACATACACATGGCCATTTCTGTTCATATGAGGTACAACTCATTCCTTAGATAATAAGTTAGGCATCATGTTTGGTAGGATGATTGGACAAAATCACAAACGTAACCAAAACCCCTCAAATATGCAAATTCAACTGCAAAAATGATGAAACTTATATTACAGAACATTGTGCACTTTGCTTAAAGTGAAGTAGCTAGTATGAAAAGAGTAAATGGTCTTCCATGTCAGTTGACATTCTTCCCCAGAAGTGCTGTGGAGAACATTCTTAAATATCTTGGCCACCATGACTCAAGTCTGGTAGCTTCATGCTCATATCATTTTCAGCAATTTTGTTCGAAGAGTCCTGCATGCACATTTTAAAATTATTTACAACCAATTATAATACACTACATTTATTACATTGTCTTAATTCTTTAAATGCAATACCTGAGATAGATGTAATATCTAATCATTACGCTGAAGCATGATAGCAAAATTGGAGGTAGGATTAACAAAAGACCAATGTGAATTGAAATCCTATGTGTAAAGGGTATAACCCTCTACTAAGGATTTTGGCTTGACCTGGGTTAACCCACGCAGGCGACCCCTCCGTAGCATTTACCTCTCAGTGCCCGCAGGAGCTTCGTCCCACATCGACTAAGAGTCGTCTCTCCCCCTCGAGTGCAAGGGCTTACATGCGAGGGAGGTAGACGACTCTCAGTCGATGTGGGACGAAGCTCTTGCGGGCACTGAGAGATAAAGGCTACTGGGGGGTCGCCCGCGTGAATTAACCCAGGTCAAGCCGAAATCCTTAGTAGAGGGTTCTACCCTTATACTATGTATCAATTAGTCAAATAGTTAATACAATGATATGACATGTAAGACAACATATGGATTTGAAATTTTAAAAACCTGTGTATTTTTGGACAAGTTTGCAATACACGAGAATGCAACAATCTATGGAGTTATCTACATTATTATATAAACTCATAAAACACATGAAAAAAAATATATTAATTAAGATAATAAAAATTGCAGAAACAACATACCTGAATATGAAAGTTAACATGTAGGGGCATGCCAGGTGATTGGACTGGTGGGTGAAAAGCTGGTCCCGTCATTATAAGGTGGTCTACTTTTTCCTTTGTTAAAAACAGAAAAAGAAATGTAAGATGATTAAAACCAATATCTTATATCAATAGCAATCTAACACAAAAGGATTTCTAACCTGGTTCAAAACCGGATTGAGAACATGTGTAACCTCCATTCTTCCTTGGCTTCTTCTTCTCCAAATAGCTTTTCTTGCGAGCATTGTTACTCCTTTTTCTCTCACAGATGGAGGGTCTAAAACCAATGTTTCACGTGCACAATCAGCACCCAAATGTATCACCATTGTTCCTTGGATTGCTAATGTCCACGAGTCTTTTGGCTTCTTCCCACAATTCTGCCACTTTCATATTTGCCATCTTCTTTCCTTCATCTGTCATGACTAAATGACTAATAGCGCGATAAGCCAACTGCACTAAATAATTTCTTTCAATTGTCAATGATGATTTTCTCTTTTTGGACGACTCTCCACACTCTTGGACTGGATTTTGTTTCCTGGCAAATTTCGTCCATCTGGTCAATATGTACTTAGCTGGAATCTCAGTGATACTCCACATATTTAGTGCTTTAAGTGTATGCCGACATAACCAACCCTTCGACTCGAACATCTTACAAGAATAGACTGTTGGGATTTAACACGATTTAAATTCACTAACAAACACAGACAATCGAAGAACAAATCAAGAATATAAAGCAATAAGAAACAAGAAATAAAAAGGCACAGATTTTACGTGGTTCGGCAATTTGTCTACGTCCACGAAGCTGCAGAAATTTCACTATTGAGAGAGTTGAATACAGAGAGCGGCTGTACAATCCACGATAAACCCTAATCACCAAAACAACAGAGTTTATATGTCTTACGCACTGGGCTGTATAACGGGCCCAAAAATTTTCCTCGGGGCCGTTGCCCCCGAACCCCCACGAGGCTTGTCCATGAGCGCTACGGCTTGGGCCTATCGGCCCAAGCCTTCACTCCATAAACTAAGCCTCAAAAAATTTTTCATTAAAAAAACCAACACAGACAACATCGTAAGTTGACAAATTAATTCCACAATGTAATGTCTTTCTTGGCTTTTTGCACTCGAGCCATAAATATAAAATTGACCATCACAGAAACAGAGGTTCTAAATGTATAGTCAAACTAGAAACAAATTCATCGACAAACAAGTGAAAAATAGTAATTGTGTACAAGGTAGTTGCTTGCATCAATATTTTACTACCCTGAACACGCAATTGTGGAGTACCATGTTTGCAACAATAATCTTCTTGTCTTTTGGCTAATCGCATTTTTTCACATTGCTCTTCATAGTGATGCAAAAATTCCATCAAGTTCATAGTTTTACAAGACGTCTGTTGAAGAACATTGTTCATGTTTTCGCTTCTCTGAGTGGCTTTTATGGGAAGAGTGAAAATATCCATGCTAAAAGCTGGACACCATTTTTCTCTCACTTTGTAGATCATTTGAAGCCATTTGTTGCTAGTAAGATCAAATCTTTTAATCATTTCACCCCAAGTTGACTCAAATTATGCCTCTGTTTCACAATCATTTAAGCACCTCAAATATAAGCCCCTAAATCCAAAATTTGAGTACAAACCCCCAAGTTTTTGGGTGGTATTTTTTGAAATGTGCCATGAACACAGACGATGATTAGTACTAGAAAATATCCATGCTAAAATCCGGACACCATTTTTCTCTCACTTTGTAGATCATTTGAAGCCAGTAAGATCAAATCTTTTAATCATTTCACCCCAAGTTGACTCAAATTCTGCCTCTGTTTTACAATCATTTAAGCACCTCAAATATAAGCCCCAAAACCCAAAATTTGAGTACAAACCCCCAAGTTTTTGGGTGGCATTTTTTGAAATGTGCCATGAACACAGACAATGACTAGTATTAGGAAATACTTTCTGGATAGCATTAGCCATTGCTTGACATTGATCAGTGAATATAGTCTTCGGGGCCTTGTAACCCATTGCTTCTAAAAATGTCTCAAACAACCAAATAAATGTATCGGTGGTCTCGTCTAAGAGAAAGGCACAAGCAAATAATATATTCTTCCTATGGTGGTTGATGCCAACAAAAGGAGCAAATACCATATTATACTTATTTGTTCTGTATGTGGTATCAAATATCACAACATCACCAAAGCAATCATAATCCAATTTTGATCGTCCATCTCTCCAAAAGAAATTTGCTAGTCGACTATCCTCATCCAATTCCTCCAAGTGATAAAACATAGGGTCATTAGTAAGACAAAATTTGAAATGAGTCAATATACTTTGAGCATCCCCCTTCTCAATCAAATTTACTTTTCTTCTATTTATAAAATTTTGACAATCTCGTTGTGTGAATCCAACATTCTCAGCACCACCAACTTCTTTTGCCAAATACGAATATGTCTTTGTCCCTCTAATACCCGCGTCAACCATGGAATTTATGACACTGGCATTAGCAACATTTATGTGTCTATTTAATTTTAAAAATTGTTGGTCTTCGGGTGCAACAAACTTATGGTTATGAATGTCATTAAAATGACTAACCTCCCAAGCCCCATCTCTAACGGTAAACTGAATAAAGGCACCGCAATTCGTTCGTTTCACCACTATATTGATTTTTTTTGGTTCAGAATGATCACCATCAATATGAATGTCTGAATTTAAGCACAAGTAATCTCGTTGCCAAACAGTTCTATTAACACCTGATGATGCACAAAATGATTTTGCACACCACCTGTCAAGTGTGAGTAATAAATGTAGTAATTTAAAAGTAAAGAAAGATGGAGAAGACAAGATGTATACTGGTTCGGTCAACGTGACCTACGTCCACTTTTGACTAATCTTGGTCGTCTACTACTTTATTAACTCATGGGTGCAAGGAGCAGAGAGTACAAGCTTAGTGAGAGAGAAGAAAGTCATCCTCAACAGAGTAAGATTTACCCCCCAAGTGTTGGTGGGGCTTATAATTTATAGTCACCCTCATAACAGGTTTGGGCAAGATATTAGTAAGTAGTTGGCTAGTTTGTTGGATTTGGCGAGCTATTCTCAACGTGCGAGGCAGTTACCTGCTCTCCATGAGATTCGGTCAAAAGATGAGGTGGGGTGTTGACCATTTCCAAGGCAGCGAGGATATGACTTTGGATGACCTTGCTTGCTCCCTTCTGATGTAGCTCCTTGACCTTGATGAGCTTCTCCGGGTGCAGACTCTTTTGGGCTTGACTAGCTGAATCTCTTGAAGTTGGGCCCTTGGGCTTATAACATGAGTTGGGCCCTTGGGCTTGGCTCATCAGCACCATACCAAACATTTCCTTTTTGAACATCAAAACCATTTTGTATCGCATGTTGACAATAAAGTCTATGTGCTTCATATTCACTACAAACTTTAATTCCAATTCTAATCCCACCATAATCTTCATCATTATCATCAATGTTAATAATTGTTTTGACCAAAAAATAAAATGTCAAAAAAATCCAAAAGGACTATATTATAGTATATTGCAACACAAAGATGGTATAATTGTACATATAAAGGCCCCAACAATCATTTCATATCCATTTAGAAGTTGTCCAGTCCACATAAAATGAAAAATAATAATATTAATTATTATAGCACCGTAGAATGTCTCATTAAAACACCAATCGTAATTACATAAATGAATAAAGTGGTACCTATATTGACATTCTCATGTTCAAATATTTGCTCCGGTGTTTCATTTTGTGATAAGTCAAAGGATGTCATTCTTTTTTGTTGCCTAAGAGAAATGAAGGACATGACAAATTTTAGTGTACCTGTGATCAAATCATTGAGTCACACTTTGAAACCATAGAGAAAAATTTTAAAACACCCAAAAAAATGAAAAAAAAACATATAAGCATACGGAAAGCTAGAAGGATTCACAACATGAACAAACAACTCTGTACCATCGGCATTGAGACCGCCCTCCAAATTCCAAAATTAAAACTATAAATAAATTAGATCAATTAGAGGAAGAATCTGAGTAGAAAGAAGGAGTAACCCACTTGTTGTGTAGAGGTTCAAGAAACTCCGACAATATTGTTTGATGCATCAACGCTGCTGCTTGATAAGTTATTGTTTCAGTTGTATTCAAAAGTTATAGAGAGATTAGAAGATGAGGAAGAAGAAGCAGAAAACTGTAGGAGTCACGATCACCACATCATGAGAGTTTGGCGGGGAATAAAATTTATATGCACAACTGGCAGGACTCTAGGTGGCTTTACAGCTCTCGGACTGACACGTGGAATGACGAAGCTGTTGTGATATCCAAAAGAGGCCGAGGAGGTAAGCCGAGGTATGGTGTCCTGGAGAAGTCGAGTACGACAGCTGGCATCGCATTTAATATGATGTGACCTCTCATTTATGATGGAGTGAGTGATAGTGACAAGGCTATTAAATGCGCGCCTACAAGCGTCTGTACTCTCTGAGTCTACGCCTACTATCATGATGGCTAGGCATTAATGGCTATTACACCGAGTGTATATGATCGGCTCTCCCCGAGGAACTGTTCTCCCGAGTATTCAATGCTCACCTGCGGGTCAGACGTCGATCTGAGGGATGTGGATACTCGAGGAAGGGCATAAATGCTCGGCGTGAAGCCAAACACTCATCCCATCATCCTAGCATTGAGTAGGAGAAGACTAGAATAGAAAAAACTCATTGCGCGAGGGGTGGCCTGTTAGACATTAAATGTCCAGATGACACTAGATGTCTTTGACAATCATTGCTAATTCAGGTAGAAATACTCCTCAAAAAAATGAACAAAGGTACGCAAGATTAAACGAGAAAGAGATTATTCATTGAGCTTGAACCTTGAATCTTGAGACTTACTTAAGCTTCGGAGGAGATAAGTCAGATATTCACCTGACCCCCTTTTCTGACTCTGTGATTGTTTCAGGTTCGCCAAGTTGGAGGTTGCTATCTCGAACTATTGTAGGAATTATCCTGTGCAATTTGGCACTGTCTGTGGGAAGTCGAGCATCCTTCCTCATAGCGATCGTCTAATGGTAAACACTCGATCTCAAGGTGAAGGAGGAGCAAATGTGCGTGTAAGAAATGCAGAGGTTGTCCGACTTCCAATGGTCCTAGAACTGGGTCCATTGAGCCAGTCAGGTCGAAGGGAGCACTCCTCCCAACGAACGCTCCCTATGGATCAAGGCCTATGGGGGCACGACCTCTTGGCTCGTGATATCATTGAGATGGTGAAGAAGCGGATGGGCAAACGGATTAACCAACTTGAAAAGAAAAATGCCAAGGTCCGGCGACGGCTTGAT